TCAGGCTTCAAGCCTTGACGCATTGATCTGAAGCGTGATTTGAAGCCCAAGCTACCCTCAGGGCCCATAGTAGTTCCTTTTTGGGACTACCTTCTAGAATTCGATATTTGAACCCCACAAAGCAACCAATATGGGGCCTATGGGTAAAGCGTATAGGGTATATGGAGTGTAAACCCTGAGCAGTTTCTGAGGTCCGGATGATCCAATTTGAGCAATCAGGGCTTCAAGGGCGAGGCCTTTGGCGTGCCAGGCGAGGCATCAGCAAGTCCAGTTCGTACCCGCATACATACGACATACATACATACACATCCATGCCTGCATTCATGCATACATACATACATGCATACACGTGTGTGTGTGTGTATATATATATATATATATATATACATACATATATATATATATATATATATACGTATATATATATATATATATATATTAATATATATTATATATATATATACATACACATGCACATACATATACGTAATGCACTTCTACATACACACACATACACATATACAGGTAGTTATACATATACATATACACAAAGATACACCTATATACACATACACATGTATACCCGTAGCCATATACACACACATACACATTAACCTACACGTACACATAAACATATGCATATAAATAGCTATGTATGTATCTATATATATATATATACATATACTCATACATAGCGTATGTATATATATATATATATATATAATATGCATAGACATATGCATAGACATATGCGTATTGATACGTACACATACATACATGCGCATACATACATACAAACATACATACATGCATGCATACAAACACATTCGTATACACACATATACATATACATAGGCATATACATATACATAGACACAACCATACACATATTACACATGTGCATACATACCTACCTACCCACATCCATACATACATACATCCATACATACATACATACATACATGACAGACGGACAGACAGACATACGTATTAGGTGTACATTAGTGTCGGGTCCGGTTTAGGATTCCCTGCAGCCAAGATCCTACACATGAACTAAGGTCGTAAGTAGTGTGCCTAGAACGGGTCCTCGGACCTCAAAAACACAGCTAGTCCAGATGTCAAGCGGGATGGCCGGAAGCTTGAAATCGTTTATGGATTTGCACCCCAAGAAGCACCACCCATTCAAAACCCGAAACCCCTAACATCCCAGAAGCTTGTCCGCTGCAAGCACAAGATTACACAGGGGATATGGCATATAATTGAAAGGTGTTGTGAATTGGGTGCCTTCATGTAAGGTGCCCCAATGTTTTAGTTTGATGCTTTCTGGGAAGCATATCCACAGGACACCCTGTAGAACATAATTGTTAGATGTCTGAAAGACGTACGGAGATATCAGGACAACTATGTTCTCATACTCAACTCATAGCTGTAGGCACAGGTGGAAGGATCCCAACGCAGCCAAATGGCGACCCTCATCCGTCTCTGGTCCTCTAAGGCAGTTTCGACAACAGCACAACCCTGATGTACGAAAGGGTACCACCTACATAACAATACCACTTACAGTAAACCCCATAAAGTTGGAAACCGGATGAAGGCCAAATAGTGCTGGGATTCCCTATACATTACTCGTAAGGGTCGAGGCTATGGGGTTTCCAACTTTTGGGCTTCTGTTGTACATACACCAAAGCTTGCGGACCTGGGGCCTAGGGTTTGCACTTTCGGCTTACATAGGTGGAGGTCGTGATTAGAACATTACATCCTACTAGAGTGAATCCCAGAAAGTTGAAGGTGGATTCAGGGTGCTTAGTGCTGGGACTGCCTATATTCAAGCTATACCTGAAGGACATGATACATAATTTATATAATACTTAAACCCTAAACCTGTACCGTATACCCCCCCTTAGAACCACAATAACAATACTATGTTTAATATTCTCTTGGGTATGAACAAAAATAAAACATAATTCCTAAAGAGACTGTAGAACCCCTAAACCCAACACCCATGAGATGGTCAGGTTCCAGCTTTCTGGCTCCTACAACAGGCCCCAGAGCACCCGAAATAGAAGCTTCCCGCTGCATGCTTGCGCTTTTCTCTGGCAGCAAAGATCATGCCCCACCCAAAGGGTCCATGCACCCAAAGAGTTTAATAGTATATGCTTTAGTGCCAAATTACCTAGACAGGAACTAGTTTTCAGGCCAAGGTATACGATATATGAGTACAATGACCCTTAGGGCCACGAAGCTAGAGTCTCTACGGGGCAGCTGCCCAAGACCCCGGCGCTTTTTTTCAACATTAAAGGCGCAGGACGAATCGCCCGGAGCCATGTCCAGCAGATATGAGCTATTAGCCCCTACCTTAACTTAATTCGGACAAACCCTAAACCCCAACCCCGAAACTCTACACAGCCCTTATCCGGGTTTAGGGTTTAGGGGTTTAGGGTTTAGAGCTTAGGGTTTAGGGGTTTAGGGTTTAGGGGTTTAGGGTTGAGGGGTTTAGGGTCTAGGGGTTTAGGGTTTTAGGGTGTAGCGGTTTAGGGGTTAGGGCCCTAGTAGTTCCTTTAAGAGGAGTACCTCATAAGGTTCTAAATATGAACCCCAAAAAGGAGCTACTTTGGGGCCTTGGGTAAACCGCTTCTTAAGGCCCGCCTTAAAGCCATCCTTCAGCCTCTCTTAGGGTTTAGGGCGTCAGGCTGCTTGGGTGTTAAGGTTTAAGGTATTAGGGTATGAGGGTCCGGTGTATTGGGGTAGTAGGATGGTAGTAGGATATTTACTAAGGTTTAGGGATTTGGCCTTCGGAATGTTTTGAGCTTCGCCGATGGCAGTCGTTGCGTGACATCTTGAAAACCTAGCATTGCAGCCTTGGGCGTGAATCTTGGATCCGAAACTGGTGGGAGTTTGGCTTAACGGCTAGGTACGGCTAGATGGGAGTTCCCGAAGAGAGCGAACCCTCAGGATCCTTATTATAAGGACCTCGGCATGGCGGCAGCCTTCGTTTCAACCGTCATAGCTCATAGCAGGCTCTAGAGATCTTGTCCCGAATCCCTGAAACCAACCCTAAACCCTGAACCCTAGCTAGACCCAAAACCCTAACCCTTAACCCTAGAGGCTCCGGGCGGAGCACAAATGGGCTCTAGCTCCTGCAGGTGAAACTTTGACAAAGCTGAGGGGCCCGGTTGCAAGCTGGTGAAGTTTCTTACGACATAGAACCGCTAAAGGTGCTGTTGAAGGTTCTTACCACCCTGTAGAAGCCTTAATTTCTTACCACCCCTCTAGAACGCTTAAATGAGTCTTTGAAGGTTCTTGCAACCCCTCTAGAAGCCTTCAAGGGGCCTTTGAAGGTTCTTACAACCCCTGTAGAACCCTGAAGCCTAGAGAACTGCCAGCTTTGGCCTGCTCCAGGCGACTACTTGAAGGGTCGGGGGACTTAGTAACTGGTTACTTTAGGGACTTATAAGTACCATAACCCCAATTAGGGTCCCTTTTAGGGTACTTATAAGTCTAGTTACTACCTACTTACGAAGTCCCCCGACCCTCCAAGTAACATCCCCAAAACGAAGGCCCCAATCCCAAGACCCAAACCGATTCCTTCACGCTTGGGTGTGTCTGAAGAACCTTGTGAAGCAGTATCCTGGGAGAACTAAAGGCTAGCCTCGAGGGGTTCGTAGGGCCTACTGTAGCCGTTACAGTATCACAAAAAGATAAACGATACCTGCTCTACGGCTACGTCTGCTTTCGGGCTCGTGTTCGGGAGGAGACGGGCCGAACGTCCCCCCAATTTGGACATAAGGGGCTGTCGGGCTTTGGAAGAGGCTTGGGCGTAAAGCTCCGGGTTTTCAGTTTGAGGCTCTCGAGGGGTTACCTGTGGATCCGAGAAGCTACTGCTTCAGGGTTATACTTTAAAAGTCAGGAGGTCGTCACCTGCTATTATGAGGGCGTGTACTTAAATGATGGTGATGGCAGGACTCAGCTGACCAGGGTATATAAACATTCAAAAGTCTATGTAAGATAAAAACTGTCTCGTTGCCTTATACTTACATATATATATATATATACACACATATGTTTGTGGTAGGCGTTTGGTTTCGAGTGGACCCCTCAGTCCATAGGCCTTGAAGGCAACTCCACCTCAGGAAAATCGACGAGCAAATGGAAGGTTGCTTCTTGCCAGCCGTCCCGGAGCCTTGACAACCGTAAGGGACCCCACAAGTATCCTAGCCAAGAAAGGTTAACCTTCGGCATTATAGCAAGACTATGAAACTTCCAAAAAGTTAAGGCTACCTACTCAACTACTAAGATTATGTGGTGGCTTCTTGAAACTAAAAAGGCAGCTCCGGGTCCAGATCACCCGTAAAGTATCCATTGTAGTCCCTGTTTTGGGTTACCTTTTAGGATCCTAACTATCAGATGGGTTTAACCAAAAAAAGGAACTACAATGGAAACTCTTGGTAGGCTCCATCTTATTCTGTGAAGCTTCCCCTTTGGACCCAAAGGAACGCCGACTTTAGACCCTCTAAAACCCCCTAAGCCCCTAAACCCCTAAACTCTAAACCCTTAAGCCCTAAACCCCCTAAACCCCTGCACCCCTATAACCCTAACCCCTAAACCACTAAACCCTAAACCCTTAACCCTATAGCCAAACACTTGGTCCAAAACCCACACGCTCTCGACCCTATACTCCCCAAACCCTTCTGACTCCCTGAAATAACCCTAAATGATGGGATGCCAAAAGGGGGGTTTAAGATTCTTGGGGTAGGGATTCCTTAATATGAACCCTACTATGGGAACCCTAGTCCCTACTAAACCCCCATATGCTAAAACCCCTTTTGGCCTCATATGACTAAAAGAACCCTCCTAGAAGCACTGAAAAGAACCCTTTCAGAATCTCAGAAACCACGCCCAAAGCCCTGAGCGGTTTAGGGTTTAGGGTTTAACCCTAGATCCTGCCATCAAAGCAAGTTCCGGGACAACTGACCTTGCCTACGGTACGGCTCTGCCCTCTCTCAGGGGTGACTCGCTTCCTGACCTTGTCGGATTTTCTACGGAGTTCGGGCCACGTTAGGGTTCCTGAATTTCTGGAGGTAAGCTCTACCTTGACCCCGAAGAACCTACATTTTTAAGGACTTATATCAAGAAATCACAATAAGGAACCCTAAACAGGTAGGTTATTCAGGGTCAAGGTAGGGTTCAGGTTGAGGGTTTTGGTATTGAGGCTTCCGAAAGCTGAGGGGGATGAGCCGATCGAGCCTATGGGGTTCAGGGTTTAGGGCTACTGCTGATGATATAAATCCTGCATTACCTTAAGGATCCTAAACTATGGGAATTATGGTATATTCCTTATTATGGGTCATGCAGGATTTATATCATCAACCGTAGTTGTGGGCACTGCGGCAGAAGAACGGTGAAGATGCCAACGTAGAACAATCTAGAGGTCCGAATCAACGCTTCAAAAACGGTTTCAGTGCCCATTCCCGGGGCGAAGCATGGGAGTTGCCGAAAATTACGGGTAGGTTTTTTTGGGGGTCCTTATGATAAGGATCCTACTACCTTACAGCCATATCGAGCCCTTTAAAGGAACCCCTATAGTATCCTTACAGTACAGTAGAAGCCAGAAAGTTGGAATATCATTATCGTAACCCCTTTAAGGTAAATTATAGGGGATCCTACCATGAAACCATATTCCAACTTTCTGGAGTTCCCTTTAAAGTAACCCTTTAAAGGACACCAAAACAAGGTACCCCTAATTGTCGGAAACTCCCACAGATCTTTTTCACTCCTGGCATAGCTCCTGGAGCCTCCCGATCTTTACGTAGACCCCCCAAAAGTAGGTAACATCATGACCAAAACCTATAAAAGGCTATTGTTTAGGGTTGAGGATATAGGGTTTAGAGTTCAGGGTTTAGGGTATTATTCTACATACTCTTAGGGTCCCGGTTAGTCTCGGCATCGAAGGGAACATCGATTCTGGCATGCCGCGTCGCTTGGGTCGTTACGAATGCAATGCCATCAACCTGGCCTGCATTGTTCGACGAGCGACGGTGATTTGAAGCTGTCCCACTCGCACTCATCTTTTGGAGCCATCTGGCTTGAAGTGTTGCTTGAGCAACGACGCTTCCAAAGCGTTTGCCGGGGGTATCAGTATAATCACATGGACGGATGGGGAGGCCTTTGCCAAAGTCTCAATCCGAACTCTTGTCATGTCGCAATGAACATGAACGTTGTAATTGTCAAAAGTACCATCTGATAAAACAGGGACGTTGTAATCTCTCGCCTGAACGTCATAAGACTCATCGTCAAAGTTCACTAACTTTGCTCTGGTCATCCTGCCATCAGTGCCAGCAATGCCATCACCTAGACCCTCAAACATAGGCAAAATAATGGCCCAACACCTATAAAAGGCCATTATTCTACCTACCCTCAAATGTAGGTAAAATAATGGCCCCAAGCCTATAAAAAGGCTATTATTCTACCTACTTTTGGGGTCCAGGCAACCCGGCTCGCATGCTTTGATCGGTCGAGCGCTTCGATGAGGAACCCAAAGGTCACCAACACATAATCCCCCTCTCGACACCCTTATTCCTAAACCCCCAAGAATAACCTCTAAACCCTACCCCTTACACCCAAACCTCTTGCAGAATAACCTGACATAGGGGCCTTAATCATTAGATTCGGTTTTGGGGCCCAATATACTATAGATATAATAAGGAGCCCGAAAAATACTCACTGGCCCAAAAGCCCAAGGAAATAAAAGTGAAAAGAATCGACGACCTTGTAGGAACCCCCAAAATTGACAAAGTTGAGTTTACGGTCAATAAGAACAGCAAAGCCGCTATAAACCCTAAACCCTAAACCGCTATAATACCTATAGTCTCCATTGTAGTTCCTTTTTTGGGTTTAACCAATTATATATTAAGGACCCCATAAGGTAACCCCCAAAAAGAACTACAATGGAGACTATAGGTACTCCTGAAGCCGCGAGTGCCGGACTGGAGGGCGAACTCCCACCGGAGGTTTCATGAAGATCGCCTTTCTGTGGCTCTTCGTAGTTGGAGGTTCATGGGTCCATAGGGATCCTTAGGGGTGTAGGGGACTATATTTCCTGAAATAGGCCTTATTTGTCCTTGTTATGGGCCTTAAGGCCCCCTACCCCCCCTCCCCCTACACCCCTAAGGATCCCTTTAATGGGTAGTTTTAAGGGTTCCTTTTAAGGGCCCCTTTAAAGGGATCTACAAGAGATTCTATAAGGGTCTAGGGTTTAGGGCCTACTTGGAGGTTCATGGATACCTAGACCCCCCAAAGTAAGTAAGATAATGGCCCAAAACCTATCAACGACCATCATTTTACATACTTTTGGGGTCCAGGTAATTACAAGTGGGGATAGCAGCCCGCTAGTAAGAGGTATAATTTAGGTACCCTACTTATAACTCCACTTGAGCCTCCAAGTAAAGCTTCGAACGTGCTTGATGAACTGTTGATACCGTTTTGCAAAGTTTTCTGCGGCTGTTGCAGACGTGGCTGAGTCAGAATTGCCTCAACATTATTCGGGTTCGTTCTTCTCGTTGGGTTTTAGGGTTTGAAAGCACTTGGTGGGCGTGTCCGGGGTGGCTCGCACGTTGCTGGTTCAACCCCGAAACCCCAACCCCTGCAAGCCCTAAACCCCTAAACCCCTAGCCCCCAAACCATCCTAAACCTCACACCCGGAAACCCAAACCCCTGGAAGCCCGAAACCCCTAATTAAACACTTTCGGCCCCGTTGGCCTTCTTCTGCAGGAGGTTGATGCGGAACAGCGACCTCCCCATAGCCACGTGGGTACTTCTCCCAGGTCCTCGGACATTAGGGTTCTTTGCTGGTTTGTGGTGTCTGCTGTGTGGCTTCATATATAGGGCTTAGCACTTTACTGCTTGCGGAGTTGAGTTGGGAGCATAGGGCTTGGGGCTTTGGCAGCTTATGGCGAATACGATATTGTTAGGACATGCAAGGTCCGGTGTCTTACGGGTACCATAAGGGTTTTCAACGGAGTTCGACTGGGTCTTAGCGACGTTCTGTCTGGGGTTCGGGGTTTAGGGCCGTCGCGTGGAGTTGCTCGGGAGATCAGGAGGGCTGATACGGTTTAAGGTTTGGGGTTTAGGGTGTAGACCCCGGATGAATCCACTTCCCCCAAATAACCCCAGGGGTCCAAGTACCTCATAATCATATACTCTCCGACATCCTGACCTACATAATCTACTATCCCAGAAAACCCGGGACCTAAGGTTTAGGGTTTAGGAACCCTAAACCCTAAACCGACCTAGTATCCCTACACCCTAAACCCCTAAATATTTGACCCTTGGGGTAAGGATCGAGAAAGGATCGCTGCCTCGGCCTCCAGCTTAACTTCGGCACCAGGCCCAGCGTTGAGGGGTGTAGGGTGTAGGGTTTACTTTCGGATTCCTTTGAAGGTATCTATGCATTTCCCTTAAGGGTTCTATTAGGGTTTAGGGTTTAGGGGTGTAGGGTATACTTTCGGATTCCTTTGAAGGTATCTATGGGGTTCCTTTAAGGCTTCCCTTAAGGGTTCTATTAGGGTTTAGGGTTTAGGGGTGTAGGGTTTACTTTCGGATTCCTTTAAAGGTATCTATGCATTTCCCTTAAGGGTTCTATTAGGGTTTAGGGTTTAGGGGTGTAGGTGTAGGGTTTACTTTCGGATTCCTTTTAAGGTATCTATGGGGTTCCTGTAAGGCTTCCCTTAAGGGTTCTACCAGGGTTTAGGGTGTAGGGTTTACTTTCGGACTCCTTTTAAGGTATCTATGGGGTTCCTTTAAGGCTTCCCTTAAGGGTTCTATTAGGGTTTAGGGTTTAGGGGTGTAGGGTTTACCTTCGGATTTCTTTTAAGGTATCTATGGGGTTCCTTTAAGGCTTCCCTTAAGGGTTCCTATCAGGGTTTAGGGTCGGGGGACTTAGCAAGTAGGTAGTAAGTAGACTTATGAGTACCCTAAAAGGGACGCTAATTGGGGTTATGGTACTTATAATTCCCTAAAATAGCCAGGTACTAAGTCCCCCAAACCCTAAACCCTTATAGAATCCCTATAGATCCCTTTAAAGGACCCCCTTATAGTTACTAAGTCCCCCGACCCTCCAAGTAGGGTTCAGGGCCCCCATGGGCCCTCAGCCTTCAAACCCTGGGCTCTGAACTCTGGCCCGAAGTCCCAAGCCCTGATCTCAAGTAGGTGTGTACTACCCTAAGGCCCCAAAGTAGTTCCTGCTTAGGAATACCTAATAGGATTCTATATATGAACCCCCAAAAAAGGAACTACTTTGGGGCCTTAGGGTACTATAATTACTATCAAAGGGGAAAAGGAGGGACCCTTAATGGGGACCCCTACCCAATAATGGGCTATATAATGGGTATATAATAGCTAAATTAAGAGTATATACCCCTAGACCCCCAAAAGTAGGTAAAATAATGGCCCAAAACCTATAGAAGGCTATTATTCTACATAATTTTGGGGTCCAGGTAGTTACTACTCTTCAATATTTTATTACTCACCACATACTCAGCCATGCGCATGAGGAGCACAAGAGAAATAAACAATCACCCACCAATTCCTGCACCCGAAACCCAGAAATGCCTTCCACGACCCCTCTGGAGCGGCCCCTCAAAATCTAAACAATAAAACCCCTAATCTACCCATGAGCCGTATACCTGTTTGGAACATCCGAGGCCGGTGCCAATCCGGGGTCAGAGACATGGCCTCGGCTAGGAGCTGCGAAGGCTTCATAAGGTGTAGGGTTTAAGGAAAGGGTGCTTTTGGGTTTAGGGTGCTACTCATACGGACTGCTCTGCCATAATCTCTTCCACTGTTGACTAACCCCCCAATCCACTATGGAGGATTTCGTGGCTTCCGGCCCCGTCATGAAACTACTGGATGATCATAAGGGGACAGCGAGGATTGTATTAGCATCTATATGGGCGAGTGATACTACCAGGTACGGGAGGCGGAAGAGGAGGAGCTGACTAACTAGAATCTTTGTAATTTTTGTAAATTTTTAGCAAATGCTACGACCATGGGCCCACACGGATAATAGTGCTACGACTCTTGGTTGAAAATCCCATTCCGACGGTTCAAGTGCCGCAGGGTAGAACCCCCCACAGCTGCATACACAGAACTCCCCAAGCCCCGAGAATCCTACCTATAGTCTCCATTGTAGTTCCTTTTTTTGGTTTACCCAGTTATATATTAAGAATCCTATAAGATAACCCCAAAAAGGAACTACAATGGAGACTATAGGTACACCCTGAACCCAAAGACGCCTTACAAATCCCATAGAACCCCCCCAAAAAGAAACCTTTTTAGGAAGTCACAGGAGCCCCAAAACCCCCAAACTTAACCCTAAGCCCTAGCCCCTAAACCCTAAACCCCAAATCCTAAACTCTAACCCCAAACCCTATAGATCTCTTACAGGAAGCCCTATACTACCCTTTAAAGGAACCCCAAACCCTACAAACCTCCAGCCCTACGAAGCTTCATCCCGGAATCCCCAGCTCACTTAGCTCTCGAGCCGTCTCGGGCTCCAGGGCGAGCAGAAGAAGATCTGGCCTGAGATTGGGGTTTAGGAGTTTAGGTACAAGAGGGATTCCTGATCTGGCCTACCATATGCTTAGTAGCTGACTTCATAAGCCCCAAAAAGGTGTACACTTTCAGTGGGTAATGTGAGTAATATTAGGCTGAGAAAATCAGCTTACGGTTTACTATACTGAACTTAGAACCCTAGCAAAAATTCAAATTTGTTAGCTGTTTCTAAAATTAAAAAAGTATTTCGAAGTACCCCGACGGAGTGGGGTCTTGGGGCTTCGTTTAGGGCTATTTTTTGGGGGGGTTTAGGGTTTAGGAGCTTATGGGTTTAGGGTCTAGGAGTTTAGGGCCTTATAGGGGTTTAGGGTTTTGGGGCTTTGGAGTTTTAGGGTTTGGGGGTTGTAGGGTTTAGGGGCTAGACCACCGGTGTGTCGCGTGTGCGTCAGAGCGTGTCTCTGTGTGTGGTGTGTCTATACACGTACGTACGTACGTATGTGTGTGTGTGTGTGTGTCTCGGTGTGTGTGTCTGCGTTTGAATACATGCTTGCAGAGGATCATTGTTCCGTTCTCTTGGTTTGCCACGCACTTGGGACTTTAAGGTATTGACGTTGGAGCGTAAGAACTCACGACGACAACGAGTAGACAGAAGACGAACATGTTTGAACTAAAATTGGGCGAGCTTTCTATACCATATGGGTAGTTGTCAAAATTAGGGTCCCCTTGTTGGGTACCCTAAGTAATAGGTGCCGTATTATAATAAGGACCCAAAAAAGGGCCCTAATTTTGACAACCACCCAAATGTATATGTATGGAGCATCCTTCAGTGAGTCCAGACCGAGAAAACCCGAGCGAAAACTCCTCCACCTCAGAAGCGACTCAGAAAAAAAAGGCTTTGGGTGTAGAGTTAGCGATACGCGTTTGGGAACACGCAGGAAATGCTAGCACGGAAATCTGTAAGCCTTCAGCTTCAAGAATACATTGGAGTAGCCTTCTGTGAGAAACATTCGAGAAACAAGCAGAGCTTTGCAGGCATTGGAGGATGAAGCCCTAAACCCCAAACCTAGAAGACTCAACAAAAGCAGATCAGGCCCCGAGCCCTCGACAATGGGACTGTCTTCTGATGAAACCCTAAACACTACCCCAAGGGTCCAAAGGACCTAATAATTAGGTACTCGGGTTTAGGATAGTAGTTATGTAGGTTAGGATTTTGGCAAGTATATGATTATTAGGTGCTTGGACCCTTGGGACTAGAAAACCGGGGCCCCCGAGCAAGTTGACCGTTTCTTCGCGCAGTTGAAGGAAGTCCTGCGACGTAGGCGATGGAAAGAAACTGTCGCAGTGTCGGTTTAGGGTTTAGGGTTTCTTTTTTAGGGTTTAGGGTTTTGAGTCGCAGTGAGCTGCGTTCGTAACAAGCAACGATGGCAGGGGAAGGACTGCCTCGGGTCCAAGGATATCCGTTTAGGGGCTCGCTTTCTTTATCCAGCGATTGCAAAAAAGGAAAGACTCGCTTAGCTGTGTCCATGCTCTGCAATTCCAGAGCTGGTGGCGCTGCCGTCTAGTATATTCGCGAGCTGGTTGAGAACTGTAGGCAAACCCTAGCCCTAAACCCCGAACAAACTGTAGGATTGACCCCGGAGATTAACAGATTCAGAAGACACAGACCCCAATCTGTAGCAAAGTGCTCGCCTTTGATGGGTGGCTGCAGTAGTGGTGGTCTTGCTGGATCCCTTGAGGAGCAGTGAAGCGCTGTCTCAGCACACTTTCGACGCTTGCACCTTCGAAGTCGAGGATGCCCATCTCAGTTCCCATGTCTGTTTTCATGCTCCGGACACGGCTAAGCGACTAGCTCTCTGCATACAACTTTCGGCATGCATCTTACTTTGTGCTCCGGGTAACCCGCTCACCTAGTGCTTGTTAGCCCAAGCTCCTCGCACGAAGGGTTTTTTTTTGAACTCCTTTTTACATCTGCCTGACCATCCCAAGCTGACATAAGGCGCCTATGCGCCAGGAGACCTGCGACTGTACTGCAGGTAAAAACCTCAACCCTCTCAGCACCAAGTTGTAGCAGAGTTTCGGGGCTTTTAAAGTTTTAAAGGTGCAGCAAACTAAAGCTCTACACCAAGCGTTAAATCTTCAACTTGGAACTGCGAACCCTAAACTTCAATATTCAGTTCGTGCAACGTCGAACCTGTCAACACCTACAAACCCCTAGTCGAGCCTGATTGAATCCTCCCAAACACATATCACTTTGTTTATACCAAGCTTTGTTAAGATGTTAATTCAGCCTGATCTAGAGGCCTCAATAATTGGAAGAGGCTTCTGGGACGTATACTACTATACCCTCAGGGTCCAACCTTGGCCTTAAAGTAGTCCCTATATAGATACCTTGAAGCCCATGTATATACTATTTAGGTCCATGCTTAGGGACCCCAAGACAGCATAGCAGGCATAGATGCGGCATAGTTGCCCCCTTCTGAACCCTCAAAGTGTGTAGAATAATAGCCTATTTATAGGGTTTGGGCCATTGTTTTACCTACTTTGGAGGGTCTAGGATAGATATAGTTAGTTATTTAAGCCCCTCATTTTTCCAAGCCCTGGGAACAACAGTCCTGCGCAGATCTCCACCACTGACCGCCCTTAGGAAGATCTGTTTAGAGGCTATAGTACTTAGGGTTTAGGGTTCAGGCTTTCCCGTTTACCTAGATTCACTGCCCTCCAACAATACCCTGAATACCCACTAGTAAGGACCAGAACTGGACCATTAATGGATCTATTACAGGGCACTTTGGGGGGTTTCTGGTCTGGTTCAGGTTGTAAAGAGGTGTACTCGTCTGGAGTCGGCCTTCTATTCGGTTTAGAATTCATAGTATGACGTCGGCACTGTTGTCGGTGTGGTGATAGATTTATATATAGCACCGGGATCTCGGATTTTGCAGCCAAGCCTAGGTATGCAGTGCTTGGATTTTAGGGATAGAAAGGCTCCGGCGTGCCTAAAGCCCAGGGAGATTCTTTGATGCTACATGCCAAGGAAATTGCATGGTAAGTCTCTGCGAAACGGGTTGGCAGTTCAGGATTTGGGCAGTCTGCCTTAAACTGTTCAGGATTGCGAATGCCTTGCAGAAAGCCAGCAAACGACGTTTCCTCGCTCAGGGGTTAGGTTCGCTCTGTACATACTCAGAAGATCATGCTTCAAATTGCAGACCAAGTTGCAACCCGTGCAGGAGAATTGAGTAGGATTCGGACTGGGATTTGATGCTTTGGGGCTCCCCAGCAAGGCCTTTGGGCAAAACGCACCGACCCCCAAACTCCAACCCACAACAGTAACCCTAGGGTCCAAGTTGCTAATAATCATATACTCTCCAAAATCCTAACGTACATAAACTACTATCCTAAAACCGAGTACCTAACTATTGGGTCCTTTGGACCCTTGGGGTAAGGGCTTGGGGTTTTGCAGTTCAGGGGTTGCCGGTTTCCAGCTTTCCAAGGGTAGAAGGGACCCTTAATAAGGACCCCTAGGTATAAACCCTTAATATAGCCACTATATGGTCCATTATAAGGTAGGGGTCCCCATTAAGGGTCCCTCCTTCTGCCCTTGGACAGCTTGAACCTCAAAGACTGAACACCTGAGTTTAACATGTTGGAGCCTTTAGGGCTGAGGGCTCAGGGTACTGTTGATGATATAAATCCTGCATGACCCAGAATAAGGAATATACCATAGTTCCCATATATTCCTTATTATGGGTAATGCAGGGTTTTTATCATCAACCGTACGTATCCTAAACCCTGAACCCTGAACTCCAAACGCGAAAGAACAAGCTCCAGTTTTGAATCTCAGACGCTATTACAAGGGCCCTAATAATTCGAACAGGGTTTTGGGGGGATGCTATAATTACCACAAGTATACTAAGGAGCCCCCAAAATAGTATTCTGAATAGGGTTTTGGGGTATACTAAATTAAAGTCATATAAAGGAACCCCTGCAATAATATTGGCAATTATACGGTCCTTATCATATATTATTACCTTAAAGTAAAAACGTTGTTTCATAATGGCTCAATGAAGAAGATTTTTTTCAAGTATGGTACTCCAAAGCCCTAAAGGCCCTAAACCCCTAAACCCTAAACCCTAAAACCTAAAAGCCCTAAACCCCTAAACCCTAAAACCCTAAACCCTAAAACCTAAAACCCTAAAAGCCCCAATTTTGCTCCTCAGACGCTGGGCCTCGCGCCCGATAGCAGGGCCTCTCACTCTCTTGCTCCCAGATCTGCAAGACCTCCTGGAGGCGCTCCACCTCGAAAAGAAGCTTTAGGCCTTAGGTTTTAGAGGGTTTAGGGTTTAGGGTTTGGGGCTTAGGAGTTAGGGCTTGGGGTTTAGAGCTTCGGGTTAAGGTTTAGGGCTTCGGGTTCAGGGGTCTAGGTTTTAGGGCCTGGGTTTGGAGGCGCTTCATCTCCCGAGAAAGGGCTTTAGGGTTAGTCGGTTCAGGGTTTATAGGGTTTAGAGATGGGGGTTCAGAGTTTAGGGCTTGGGGTTTAGGGTCTGGGGTCTAGGGTTTAGGTTCTAGGGCCTCAAGGGTTTAGATTTTAAGGTTTAGGGTTCAGGGTTTAGGTTTTAGGAATCATTGTTTAGGCCAGGGGTTAGAAAAGGCTTCCACGGGTTTACAAGGCATTTGAGTCCGTTTGAAGACTCGATAGGGGTTATAGACTTGGAGTTTAACTTTGCCCGGCCATATCAAGGCTTATGATATGCGGTTTCTAGCAGTCGTAACAGTCATTGAAATCAACAATACCCCCCCGATAGTCCCTGTATACACATTAATTACAGGACACCACGACAATTGTCAAGGACCCTATATATATGTGTGTTAGGGTTGATCGTTTCGGGCCATCCTCTTTCACGGGTGTAGGACCTTGAAATGTCCTGCTCCTTGTTCTGGGTCCGTGCTGGCTCCAGGCCTCTACCACGGATGCAGTGGAATGTGGCTCCGGAGGAAGTGCTCTCTTTCAAAGTGTCCCCAGCACTCTTCCCTAAGGTGATTCTTGTCTCCACGAAGAATCCAGGCCTCTTCTTGGTCGCAGGCGTCTTGATCAACAACACCGTGCAATTACAGCAGTTACCAGCACCCCAAGCTCCAACAACAAACAAACCATTGCCATAGCACCATTGCCATAGCACCAGGCGGCATTGAGGTCGGTGATAAGGGCACACTGCAGCTGCAAGTGGCTCATATAAGAAGTGGCCCCAAGCTGCGTCTCAGCCTCAGTTGATCGGTGATCTCAACGACGCCTGGTTTTGCGTTTGGATTGTCTTTCTACTATGGTTTGTTTGTTGTTGGAGCTTGGGGTGCTGGTAACCAACGCAAGTATGTTCAAAAGCAAACTTTTCTTGAGGCGCAAGGGTTTAGGGCTTATAGCTGAGGGTTGAGGGTGTGGGGCTCAGGGCTGGGCTTAGAGTTTGGGGTGACGTTCAAAACCCTCGGCAATGATAGTTGACGCTAGTTGACACCATAACGAAAATGCAATGGTTTCAATAACCCCTTACACTGGACTTACGTATTCTATCACAACTGAGGGACGGAGTACCCTAGCGCAAACAGGTTGAATCATAGTAATTAGGGTTATATAAGCCCCCAAAAGGTTAAAGGTTGCCTACGCAGCCTCTACAGTAAGACAAAGGAACAGAAGTCCTAAGGAGAGCGCAGGCTAGCTAACACAACGTTGAAGTTGTACCTGGCTGGAGGGAGGCACAGGGATCGGGACGTGGCCAAAAGATCCTACTTGTCGGGTATCATGGGGAACTAAAGGTTTAACCTTTTGGTTGTATAGGGACTATACAGGGACTATACTACCCAAAAAAAGGTTAAAGGTTGCCTACTCGACTACTAGGCAATGAAGCTTGCTCCGGATAGGCTTAGGGAGCAGGATCGAGGATTGAGGGTTGACGAAACCGTACTTGGAGGTTCATGGGTAATTATGATGCGTTATAAGCAAGGTAACTACAGTTATAATTCCGATTAGGGGACTTACAACCCCATTTCATTTACATTTATAACACCCATGAACCTCCAAGTAGGCTTAGGGAGCAGGATCGAGGATTGAGGGTTGACGAAACCGTACACCATTCAGTCCCCTCCGCCTGGTCCATAGGCACGGGCAAAGTAAGCAACCCAATCTGTCCTTCGAAGTGTTTAGGGTTTAGGGTTATGGGTTTAGGGTTTATGGCTGAACATTCGGAGTGTGTCGGGCTTGAGGGGTCAACGATACATTCATCACTGGGCTTTGATGATGCTGAAACTTACCAGCTGCAATTCAGAAGACCCAGTGCAAGCCTACAAGGACATTACTGGGTTCTTGGTAACGACCTTAGTTTAAGTTAACATAATAACGGGAAGAAAACCCATCATCTTGAATGGAACCCTATGATGGCGGCTTTCTCAAACTCCTTAACAAAAAGCAAAAAGCATACCCCCAGTCCCCCCCCAACAAGTACAACATCACCAGCCGGGTCCATCAGCGTTGCCCAGGAAGACTGACAGCTGATGTGTGAAGAAGGCCTTGTCGAGTTGAGCCATAGTGCACCCTTGTCCCTTTAGAAATAATAGACAGAGCCGGAGCCCTATACCTATAATTATCCCTTAATGGGATTTTTTTAAGAAGGTCTACTATCCGGTCTGTTTATTCTGTTGGGGGAACCATGAAAAAGGACAAGGCTGCCATAGTGTGTTCGCCGCTTCTGGTGTCGCAGCTTGGGGCCTGGGGGTCTCAGTGTTCCTAGACCCTTAAAGTATAGTGAAATGATGGCCCAGAACCTACTAAACAAGACTATTATTCTGCATACTTTGGGGCTCCAGGGAAGGTTTCAGTGTCTGAGTTCCCCTTAGAACAAAAAAACAAAATAATTCCTAAGGATACTATGGTGATAAGGTTTGAAGTTTCAAGCTTCCCTCGGAGGCCTCAAAAGGTGGGATGAAGGTAGGTAGGAGTGAGGATCCCTTATATAAGGACTCTTATTTGGGAATATCCCGCCTACCTTCATCCCAGGCCTCCGATTCCCAGGGTTCAGGATGACCAGGCGCTTCGCCCTAGGAGGGCTTAGGGTGAAGAGCATGGGAAGTTCCTTCCCCGACGGGGCCTAGGTACCCAGAGGGTGTAGGGTTGTAGGGTCTTCTATACCCCCCGTTAGAACCGTATAAAAACCAATAGTTTTACTGTAGTATTCTCTTGGGATTATTTATGAACGAAAATACAAAATAATTCCTAAGGAGACTGTAGTCTTGAGTACCTATTATAGTACAGCGCATGGTGTCTACAACAGGACTTAGTATTGCGGTTGGGTACGTGTCCCCTAAAAGAAACTCAGGATCCAGTGGGGTAGGACGAGTGTCCAAGTCCTACAGGCAGAAAGGGTGGTAAGCCTAGTCCTCAACAGCTCGTGGGTGCAGCAGTCTTGAAGTTTGAAGCCCTAACCTCAACATGAACCTGAACGCACAAGCCTCCAGATCTCGCAATTTGATAAGGGTCCTGGCGAAGATCTTATCTTACAACACTGAAGAGTGTTCTTCATGAAGGGGCGTGATCAGCGGTCACACCGTAAAACCCTAAACGCTAAATCCTGAAACCTCCAAGCTTCTAACCGAGCACTTCTCGAAAGCCCTAAACAGTACTGTAAACCCCTAAACCCCTCAACTAAAAACCTTAGTTTTCCCCAAGCACTAAATCCTAAACCCCTAAACCCCCAAAACCCCGAAACCCCTGTAAAGCAAAAGACCAAGACCGGCTGAGGTGGCCACGGCGGAATCGGCTGAGTTTCGAACATCATCTCGGAGGCATTTTGGGGCTTTCACGGCTTGATTGCTTGGCCTAAGGCTCTACGGACTCATATTTTAAGGTTTTTGGGCCTAAAGACCATATTAGATAAGGCGTTTGCGCCATTTTGAGCCTTAAGGTTAGGGTTTGAGGCTTCCTTTTTTTTGCGGGGGCAAGCATCCTGTGCTTTGGGGCACGCCTGGAACAAACACTCCAACTTTTAAACTAGGATACCCAGTAACCTAGGAGTAAAAAGGGCTCCCTTTTTGGTATTGGGTAACTTTATAAGGAACCTAGGATTACAAAAAGGGAATAAGGGTACTACTGGGCATCCTAGTAAAAATTATATCGGGGTTCTTGGGGTTCATGGGGAGCTCTAACTCGGTTTTCAGTCCGCTAGCCGCTAGCCCCTACTATAGCTACCCTACTTCTAACCCCACATATAACTACCCATGAACCTCCAAGTAGGCCCTAAATCCTCTACCCTTATAGAATCTCTATAGATCCCTTTAAAGGGACCCTTACAGGAACCTTTAAAACTACCCATGAACCTCCAAGTTCTAGTATGCCAAAAGGGTGTGTCTCGGCCCCTATCGGCTTCGTGGCTGAGTATCATAGCCCAAGAAAGGCTACAGTAAACCCCATAAAGTTTGAAACTGGATTAAAGCCAAATAGTGCTGGGATTCCCTATACATTACTCTTAAGGATGGAGGCTCTGGGGTTTCCAACTTTTGGGCGCCTACTGTCCCCTTTTCAAGTTAGGGTTTAGGGTTTATACCCTGAGAGTCCAAGTACTCTCTATGATGGGACTTCGGCTCCTGTTTGAACACCCAAAACCATAAATAAGTATCTCAGCAAGCGCGGATATCGGATTCTACCCGCTTACACCTGACATACGGGTCCTCGACGGTTGATACTTTGCTTGTATCCTGAGTCGGTGAAGGGTTGAAAACCAATAGAAAAACTCGTGCTTAATTATTCAGCGCAAAGCCAAACCCTGTTGCTCCTGCTGCTGCCTGTTTCACAAATCGCTGAAAAAAAGCACCTGTATGCTTTGAGGAACCAGTCCCCTACACTGCACCCATCGCCTCAAAACCCTAAACCCTAAACCCCTAACTGGGTTGGCCTTTAAGCCTTAAGCACCGCGAACAAATTATATAGGGTCCCTTATAAACCCAAATAAGGAAAATAAACAATGTCCCAAAATCCAACCTAGCTAAACCCCTCAAACGACATCCGAACAGTATTCGAGCATCGGCCTGGTTCCGCTGCGGTCGTCTCTTTGGGGCCACTCTCAGCCGTCGCTGTCTCTCCTGCCCCGCTGGGGCTGAGAAAACTCAGGTTACGGGTTTAGGGTTTAGGAGTTTACCTCTAGCCGAAAAGACCTACCATTTTGGGGTTCCTAGCCGAAAATCAGGTTACGGGTTTAGGGTTTAGGAGTTTAGGGTTTAGAAGTTTAGGGTTTAAGGTTTGGGAATTTAGGGTTCAGGGTTTAGGAGTTCACAGGCTTAGGGTTTAAGGGTTTAGGGGACACGGGTGGTGAAGGGTTTAGGTTCCGCTGGGCTGGGAAAAACAACCAAGGTCGAAGGTTTCTGAACCCTAGTTAGACCCAAAAAAGAGGGACTCTAGAAGCTCGATTGCTTGTTTCCATCAGTAGCAGTTGCAGTAGCAGTAGTCGTCGTCGTCGTCGTCGTAGCAATCGTGGTAGTCGTCGTCGTTGTAGACGACAACGATGACGACTACTACAGCTACAGCTACAACTGCTGCCACCGCTGCTGCTGCTGCTGGTTCTGCTGCTGGTTCTGCTGCTGGTTCTGCTGCTGGTGCTGCTGCTGCTGCTGCTGCTGCTGCTGCTGCTGCTGCTGCTGCTGCTGCTGCTGCTGCTGCACACTACACCCTAAAGAACGGCGGCGACGACGACTACCAATGCTACTACGACGACGGCTACTAATACTATAAGAGCGGAGTAGTGGTGCGGGATCACAGATTCAACGCTCCAGATAAGGCGGTCCATCACGATGCGATAATTCAACTGCAGCGATAGAGCGACTTGCCGTGGAAGGGACTTATTAAAGAGATTTCTATCCGCAAATAAGCATTCAACGAACTACATCAGAACACTAACATATGAACTCTGAGCAGACATGCGTAGATATACATGTGTACGCATGCATGCTCTTCTCTACGGCGATACTATGCCGGCATGCATCACTGGGTGTCGATTTCAACAGTCCCCAATACTATTCATGGTTAAGGCTCTTTTCTAAGCAATAAGGGAACATAAACTCTCAATTATCCCAAAATCGATAGAACCCTAACCTGAACTCTAAACCTTACCCCCAGGCTCTTAGGACCCAGATTTTGAGGCTTTCGGGCCTAAAGACCATATTATGTAAGGCTTTTGGGCCATTTGGAGCCAAAAGCTTCGGATACCCTAAACCTTAAACCCTAAACCCCTAAACCCTAAACCCTAAACCTTAAACCCTAAACCCTAAAACCTTAAACCCTAAACCCCTAAACCCCTAAACCCTAATACTTCTATAGGGAAGATCGGGGAGACCAGGGGTTCGGGCAATCCGGTCCTGTGGCGGATCTCTCCGACATCTTCGCCTTCGTGAGCTAGGAGTTTAGGGTTTGGGAGTTTAGGAGTTTAGGGTTCGGGGTTTGGGAGTTTAGGGTTTAGAAGTTTTGGGGTTTAAGCTTTGGGAATTCAGGGTTCAGGGTTTAGGAGTTTAGGATGCAGGAATTTAGGGGTCGGAAGTTTAGGCTTCAGGGTTTAGGAGTTCAGGGTTGTAGGGTTTAGGGCCAGCACATGCGAGAAGATCGAATGTCGTAGACCTTGCGCGAGAGCTCTTAATGCAACTACCGGGTTCTTGCTAAGGATACTAATTTCAGCTACCCCTGAACCCTAAACCCTAAATATAGACACCATATTATTGACTATCGATCCTTCGCCCTAGAATTATGGTTGCCTGTAGCAGGAACCCGGAGTACCTGTTGCTGTCTTCCCTTTGGCCCTTTCTCTTTCTAAAAGCTCTTCTTGGAGGTTCGTGGGTAGTTATAAGTGGGGTTATAAGTTGGGTAACTATAGTTATAAGCTCTATTAGGGGACTTATAACCCTACCCTAAGGCCCCAAAGTAGTTCCTTTTGGCGGCTCACATTTTTAATCTTATGAGGTAATCCCAAAAAGGAAGTACTATGGGGCCTTTGGGTACTGATAACTACCCATGAACCTCCAAGTAGGCCCTAAACCCTATACCCCTACAGAATCCCTATAGATCCCTTTAAAGGGGCCTAAAAAGGAACCCTTATGACTTATAAATACTTATAACTTATAACTACCCATGAACCTCCAAGTTGAAATCCGGACGAGTCGGGGTTGGTTTTGGGTTCAGGGCTTCGGGTCTTGTGCAGACTCTCCAACAAAAGCTGGCTTAGGGTTTAGGGTTTGGGGTTTAGGGTATAGGGTTTAGGGTATAGGGTTTAGGGGTTTAGAATTTAGGGTTTAGGGGTTAGGGTTTTGGCCCGAGTCAATTGCCCCTTGCAGGAGAAAGTCCTGGGTCGTTTTAGCCAAGACTTCGAAGTCAGGTTTCTACACTAGGCCCCGCTGTGATTTCTTCGTTCAGGCGCTCGTCATGGGCAACTTCTAGCCAAATGAAACCCTAAACCCCTAAACGCCTAAACCCTAAATACCTAGACCCTCAAAAGTAGGTCAAATAATGGCCCAAACCTGTAAAAGGCTATTATTTTACCTACTTCTGGGGTCCAGGTAGTGATGATACATGGTGATGATGCTGCTGACGGTGATGACAGTATGCCGGGTACTCAGAGTCGCTTTTCCGAAAGAGCTCTGTCTCCTGAAACAAGGCGGAAATGATTCAGTGCTGTCTTCACGAAGACAGTGGTTAAATTTCTTCCACAAAAGATTCAGACTGACACCTTAGTTGCTGAGCTCGTAAGCCCGAAAACGTGTACACTTTCAGTGTTACTGTGGGTATTCTTATCCAAAAGGTGTAAAGTGTATCCGCTCAGCTACTGAGATAGATACCCAAGCCTAAGAAGCCGTGCTCGGCGGCGCTTGTCTCTCGTACTCAGCTTCTGCTGTGCCACGTCGTGTTACCCTGGTCCGCCTGTAGGGAGTATTTTTGGGATTACCTCATAAGATTCTAAATCTGAACCCCCAAAATGGAAGGTTCGGCGTTGGAGAAGGGGGCCAAGCTCCCAAACCTAAACCGCTGGAATTATCAAAGGGGAAAAAGGAGGGACCCTTAATGGGGACCCCTACCCTATAATGGGCTATATAATGGGTACATTATAGCTATATTGAGGGTATATACCTAGGGGTCCTTATTAAGGGTCCCTCCTTCTACCCTTGGAAATTATCAACAGACGTAGCAAGTAAAGTCCCAAAAGGGCTTTAATCGGCAACTCCCACTAGGGAAACTCAGGGAAACACAAGGATCCTACTTACACTTACCAAGACGCATATAACTCATGTACCCCCTTATACCCCAATGCAACAAAGCCCACATATCACATAAACGCAAAACAGCAATCTACAGGAAACCACGAGCAGCGTCATATCTGAGATCGAAAAGTCAACTGGGTGTTGTGGCCTGATATCTGGGTTCTGTAGAAGGTCAAAGACAATGCTCCTACGAGTTTCTCAGACTCCAAACCCCGTACCCTGCATAAAACATACCAGAACTTCCAAACACCAAACCCAACTAAGCCTCCTAAACCCCTCAACCCTAAACCCTACACCCTAACCCTAAACCGTTTAGCCTAAACCCCAATACAGCACAAACGCATGCGTTGCCTCGCGCGCCCGGTTGGCAGCTACAGCAGCCGGGGGCGGCTCGTCACCTCGCAAAGGCCAGGCGGAAACGATGTGTTGGTGGGTTTTCATGTTTCGAGTTTTGGGCAATTTAGGGTTTTGGGGTATATAGTTCAGAGCTTCAGGTTTACAGCTTAATGGGGCTTGTCGGGTTTAGGATGCCGTTTAAGACAAGTTTAAGGGTCTGAACCACAGAACCCTGCCAAAAAGCCATAGGAACCCACATGCCTGAACTCCAAGCCTCAAAGCCTGAAGGGACCTCAACACCAGACCCTGGTCAAAGAACCGAGAACCGAACACGCCGTCCGAAATCAGAAAAACCATGGCAACAGGTTCAGAATGAGCCCCTACCCTAAGGCCCCAAAGTAGTTCCTTTTTTGAGGTTCATATTTCGAATCTTATGAGGCAATCCCAAAAAAGGAACCTACTATGGGGCCTCTGGGTGGGATCAAGACTTGCAGATCCCCCCAACCTCGAGCTCTAAACCCTGAGCCTTAAGCACCACGTACCCTGCACGCTACCTAAGGGGGTTCTTGGGGTTCCTCTAAAGGGATTTATAAGGGTTCCTTAAACGGATCTATAAGGATTCGGTAAAGGGACTTACCTAGACCCTCAGAAGTAGCTAAAATAATAGCCCGAAAACTATAAAAGGCCATTGTTCTACATACTTTTTGGTGTCCAGGTAAACCCTAAAGCCCCATGCCCTAAAGCCCTAAACCCAAAATCCCGAAGCCCTCAACGCGAGCCTTTGCCCCTAAAGGTCCATGCGCTGCTGCTTGCTACGTCTCAAAGTATGTTTAAATGGACACTTTTAAAGACAACATACATACAGGTACACGGCCCCGTAAAGAACCCTGGTGGAAGCCCATAAGGAACCCCTTCGACATACATGCATGCTAAATAAACCTGCATAAACCCGTAAGCCCCGAAACCCCTAAACCTAAACTGAAGCCCTTGTAGAACCTTGTACAAACTCAGCCGAAATCCTTATAGAACCCTCAGAACCGGGCTTAGGGGTTTGGGGTTTAGGATGTATAGGGTTTAGGGGTTTAGGGTTCAGGGCGTCTGCCAAGGTAGGTGTAGCGTGGGCGGCTAGGTAAGCAGCAGCAATCCCAGGGATGGATTGCACGGGCTACCCAGAGGCCCCATAGTAGTTCCTTTTCGGGATTACCCAACAAAGATTCTAAATGTGAACCCCAAAAGCTTAATGGTCTTGTCCAGCGTTAATTATAGCCCAGTGCATCGGGCAGCAACCCCTTCTCGACGCCGAGCAGGAACCACTCAAAGAAGGCCAGCACCAATGCCATCATGGCGCAGGAGACGTGGGGTGTTTTTCAAGCTTCACGTAAGCCCTGTTCCTGGAGTCCAGCCTTTGGGTTGATCATGCTTCCAGCTTTTGACCCGCACCAGAATCGATTTCATTATATCCACAGTGCTTCGCAAGAGGTCCTGGACCCGTTCCCCACCACGGAGTCAAGGTTCCCCGAAGCAGCCAATGCAGAAAACGCGTCTGTATATTGGTCTGCGTGGGTCGCTGGAACAGGAAGAGCGCATCCGTGGCCCGCCGCAAGCTCTGCGCTCGCTAACACTGCAGCGCCAATTCCTGTAGCGGAGTCCTGCCCCAGGTGTCTACCTTGGTGTACCTACACCCCCCAAAACTAGGTAAAATAATCCCAAACCTATGAAACGCTATCATTCTACAGCCTTTGGGGTCCGGTAACCGTCTTCGTAATCATGGGTCGTATCATCTCCTGGGGGCCCACTTGAGACGGTCGCCCCCTCGCAGACAACTGGGTCTTGAACCTTAAGACCCCGGCCCTTACCAGGACCCCCCCATGGCCCTTAATGGAGCCCTCAGTGGGTATTGTGGGTATACTAGAGGGTAGTTGGGGGGTCAAAATACAGAAGCCTGTAAAAACCCCTAGAGATCCCTCAAAGGAAGCCTTAAAGGAACCAACACCCATTACCGAAGCCCTTCTAGAACCCTGTTAGAACCCCTATGGCCCCTCAACAGAAGCATGCAAGTAACCCTTAAAAGAACGCTCCTAAACTCGTAAACCTTAAACAGGAGTCTTAAACCCACAAAAGAATCGAATTTCGTAAATGCACCAGAGATCTGGGAGCCCGCGCCAAGAAAGTAAGCGCGACCCGGAAACCGGGCATCCTGGGGACGTCCTCGCAGCTCTTCGTTTAGGTTAGGGGTTTAAGGTTTACTTTCGGATTCCTATAAAGGTACTTATGGGGTTCCTTTAAGGGTTCCCTTAAGGGTTTAGGTTTTTAGGGTTTGGGGTGGTTTCGGATTTGTTTTAAAGGGATCTGTAAGGTTTAGGGGTTTATAAGGGTTTAGAGTTAAGGGGTTTTGGGGTTCACGGTTTAGGGATTTAAGCATTGGGTTTTGGTTAAGGAATTTGATTCAGTTCTTTACCTCAGAATCCGTGACAAGAACACAGTCTTCCTTTATGAAGGTCCTAATACAGACCATTTGGGGTTGGAGGTGCAGCGTCTATTTCGGGTTTCGGGTTGAGGGATTACTTAGGATATAGAGTTTTGTTCGGGCTTCGAGTTGAGTGTGTATCTTTGCTGGTGGTTGTTGTGTGGTTTTGAAATTTCTGGTTTTGGGCGTTCAGGTTTTCGGGGTTTGGGGGTTACGGCTTCAGATTTGCGAGTGTACAGGTTTAGGTTTAGGGCTTCGGGACTCTGAAGGCGTCTTTGACCCTGCTCGTTTTTGAACTCTGGCATTTTGTGCCATTTTGTGCCCAACGTTTCAACGTTTGTTTACAGTGGAAGCCGGAAAACTGGAACCCGTCCACAGGAGCAAAGTGGCCCCACACCGCATGTTCCAGATTTGATCTCGGAGCCCAAACTTGGAACATTGTCTGAAGAATCGCAATCCTAGAGTTGGACCATTGCGGCAGCCTCGAGCTACCAAGCTCAAACTTGGATTCCCGGCAGCGGTAAAAGCCTATATGCAGGACGCCGTCGGAACATGCATCTGGTATATGGCATGTTCCAACTTTAGGTTTGGATCTGCAAGCTAGTGGGAAAGCACTAGCTGACTTGGAACTTTGCGGTCGCATCAAGCCACCCAGCGAACGGCAGATTTTGCTCTTGATGCGAGACATGCTTTTGATGCCACAAAAAACGGTGTACGATTCCGGCACCACGTAGGGCCGTATTTGCCCTGCGGATTTTTCGTCTTGCCTAGAAACTTCCGCATGTAGACCGAACCCACATATACACATAGATATTTGTATACATTTTTTGGCAGGGGGGCCAGGGAAGGGGCCGGCAGGCTCCAAGGCCCCTGGCCGTGGGGGTTCCGTTTCAGCTGCATTTTCCATGCCACGATTTTCCGAAGCTCAAAGGGGGAAGCTTTGCTGTAGCTAAATAGAAAATTTGGCACCAACTCAATGCCGCGTAACAATTTCAAAGGTCAAAATGGGTGAGCGCGGCCTGGTGCCCTATGCCACCCTTCGGTATGCAGCGCCGGGTGACCAATTGCGCCAGGGTCTGGTTTTCGTCGTCTAGGCGGCACTGAGTTGTGCACCCTAGTCCTTAAGGGCTCTGATGCTCAGCGTTGCTGCCAGTACTTGGAGGAAGCACTTGAACGTTCGGTGTTGGAAATGCCAGTGCTTGGGGGAAAACATCCCCGTTGCTTTTGTGCTTCTAGGCTGCATGCTAGATTTATGTGGCTTGGTATAGAACTGAATGGGTGGATGTAGGGGTCTCTCGGCACCTGTCCGAAGTCACCCAAAATCTTGCTTGGATCCGTGTCTGAGCCCGCGAAGTTCCGTGGCTGTTTATTATATGCTGACTGAGCCGATACGCCTTGTGAAATGATGGGCATGCATGTCTGTGCTTGGGCACACCCGTGTACTTGCCTTCTGCACACTCACACATGACTTTGGCTGCGATTGAGAAGGAGCACGGCGCTACACTAGATCAGAAAGCCCTCGAGAAACCCATCAAGGCTCACACCAGTACAGCCGAGACTGTTATAGATGTAAGGGCAAGGACTTAAGGGCCCAGACACCCTGCAATGGAGCACCCTAACATATTACGTATTACGCAAGTGAAATCAAGCGGGTGCAACACTGTTCAGATCACGCCCTCCCTCTGGAGAAAGTGGCGAAAAGGCCCGTGCCGCTCGGCCGCGTAAAGATGAGCCTTCCATGGATCCTGCGCATGCCTCTGCCACTCAGTGGTGATGTTGTCGCTATCGTCCACCAAATTTCAAATGCAGCGGATCGCCGTGCGCAAACAACCTACGTGCTGTGTCAAGCTTGCCGCCACGGTCGGTCTTTCTCGTCGCAAACACAATGAAGAGATCACCAGAGTATCCAGGCTGCAAGGCCACATGATGAACCTGCCGAATGAACCTCACGCATTGACTCTTGTACTTACTACTTGTAGTGTACGACAAGCAGCAGACACGAGCTCCGATGGGCAAGCCGCAAATAATCGAGGCTACGTGCGCAGCGGTCTGGCAGTCGCAGACGCCACGAAAATCCAAAAGCAATGTGCTCGTGCAGGCCTGAACAGTGGCCACCATGTGTTCATCTGGTTGCTCGCCCGCCTCGAAATCGATCACATACAGCTGTGGCTCCGGGAGAGCAGGCACAGTGTCAGGAACGGGCGGCGTCTCCGTTAGAGCAGGTGCAGAGACAGGCGCAGGCAGCGGTGCTGAAGCATAAGACGTGGATCGGCGCTCCTGCAAATCACTCCACTCTGCCCACTCTGCTGAAGTCCAGGCACCGTACCATCCATTCCACTCTGCCAAGTCGGCTGAGGTCCATGCACCGTACCCACTATCGTCACACTCGTCCTCCACGCATGCAGCTGCAGTGCCATTCCATGCAGTAAACCCAAGCGCTTGCGAAAGTCCTTATAGTTATTGGCCAAGCTTAATTACCGCCACCGAAGCTCGATGTTTGGGTCTATTGGGTAAAGGTGGTTTGGACCTATCAAGTGATGGGCACTAGATGCTTCTATCATGGGCAGTCGAGCGACTGATCGGTGATCGAGAGCGCGCACTCGAAGCAGAACAGGCAGCCGCAGGATCGGCAACAGGACGGCCGGAGCTCCCTTTCGCAGGCAGTATGTACTCTTCGTTCCACTGACGACTAGGCTCATGTAATTCGTCCTCGGCAACTGCATTCGCCAGCTCCTGCTGCTTATTGGCCTTTTTGCCGCCTCTAACCATGGCGATCAGCTCAGCTGCCAAAGGAATGCTCTAGGTGCATCAAGTGCCGGCGAGAGAATCGGTGGTTGCAGTATTATTGTGATCGCAATCTCTGATTAACGGCTCCCACTACGCGGAATGCTTCAAGGCACACCTTGATCCTGAAGCCACTTCACTGTCTTCGGAAATCGACCACTTTCGGAAACTCCTTCAAAACTTCCGTTGCTGCTTTCGACTCTCACATGGCTACACTGGGCAGGATGCAGGGCCAGTTACAGAAGCTCTACCAGCCTCTCCCTGGTCAATGCAACCAGCCGAGCCTTCTCCTGCGTACCATACGCACAGAATTTACAACCATGGCAGAGATTTCTCCAGCCGCGGTTTCTGTGCTCAATGTGCTCAACAATGACGTGAGCATCGCCTGCCATAGCCTCGCTCGCACTCATTGCAATAGCAACTGAGCGGTGGCGGCCTTGCTCAAAAAAGAGAGACCAAAACAGCTCCTTCGGCGTGCCCTTCAACCTTGCTGCACACGGTTCCAACAATTCTGGAAACTTACAATGGTTCAAAGCTGATCGAAGTATCATGGCGACCGCAATGACCAAACAAGGATCGGAGTTTGGGTGGCTTCTTTAGCACTCGGCAATCCAGCCCGAGATCACAAACGGAGCTTGTCTGAGGCCTACCTGACTGCTCAATGCCCCAAATTTGTATCGTGATCTCGTGGTTTTCGGGTTAGGGTTCAGGGTGCCTTTTGCCGTGCCTTTTGCCAATTCCCCCCGGTCACAGCCGCCGCTCTGCAGCCAATGGCTTGCGCACAAGCCGGAATGATGCTGGCGGGGCTGTCTTGTCCCAGACCTTTCTGGGACTACCTCATGAGATTCTAAATATGAACCCCAAAAAGGAACTACTTTGGGGCCTGAGGGGTTAGGGGCCACCGATAGCGAGCTTTCTGTAGAAGTTCAGGGCAAGCAGACGAATAAACCTAGAGGCTCAGAGTGGTGCTGCAAAGGGTTTAGGGTTTAGAGCGTTCTCCATCTAGCTCGCATAGAGACGGGGACTCTTACAGTAGAGTGATATAGGGGCCTTATAACATTTCGCCTCGGCCCTGGCCGAAGCGGTCAGAGGTTCCTTTTCGGACTATTCCCCACCTCTTAATCCTCCCCAGTGACCCCACCCCAGCGCTCGTTCCGGTGCCAGCACAAGCTCCATCCGCTGCTGCTACGACTTGTACAAGGCTCAGAAACTGAAGCTTGCGAGCTGTCGGCTACAAAATTCAAAACTTACAGGTTCGGAAATTTGGTGTTGAAGGTTTTAGGCAGCAGGGTTCCACGAGTTAACCCTTTGGCGGACTAGCTGGGACACTTGTCGGTTTGCGCGTGTCATCCCTGCACAGGACGCCTATAGGGTCTAAAGTTTAGGACTCAGGATTTTATTGTTTACCGGATTACCGGAGCTTGATGCAGCACATGCCGGCGCGTGTACATAATCCCTGAACCCTTTATAATTTATAAACGCTGTAGACTATAGATCGCTCTGGGGGGGGCCGACCGAGCATGGCATCGATGCCGCCGTTGAAGAACATGCAGCGAAGAATGAGGGTTTAGGCTTGAGAGACGAGGCTTTGAGGTTTAGGGTCTTCGGAGCAAGTCGTTATTGGATGAAGGTGCTCAGTCTGCATACCTCAACCGACCCTAAGAGCCGGGAAAACAAAGGAAAAAGATACCATTTAAGACTAAGTTTTAGTGTTTGAGGGTCCTTCAAGGACGCCTTCACAGTGCGCTTGCTTCCGTCACGGCCGGGCCGAGGCGGACGACGCGAAGCGTTTGAATTAGAATAGGGTTTTGGGGTACATGATACTATACTCGTAGGTAATAGGGAGGCCCCAAAATAGTATTGGTAACTACTTAGCCCCCTACATTGACCATCTTCATCTTGACAGCAGACTGATTGATCTGCACCGTGAGCCTTACCTTAACCCTGAATAACCTACCTTTTTAGGGTTCCTTATTATGATTTCTTTATATGGGTGGTTGTCAAAATTATGGTCCCACTTTGGGTCCCTATGATAGTACGGCACCTATTATTTAGGGTATCCCAAAAGGGACCCTAATTTTGTCAGCTACCCATATAATGTCCTTAAGAATGTAGGTTCTTCCCCTACGGCTCCATGTACTCATATAGTAGGTACTTAGGCCTTAAAGGGGTCCCTATATGGGTACTTTAAGGCCTATAAGTACCTACTATATGTGTACATGGAGCCTTTGGGTTCGGGGTTAAGGTAGGGCTTGGGATCAGGCCCCGACTCCGCAGGGGTTTTGGAACGACCGGAAGCTTGACATAGGGCTTAGGGTTTAGGGTTTGGGGTTTAAGGTGCAGGGTTTCCGGTTTAGGGTTCAGGGTTTTTGTTGAACTCATTTTTACGCCCGCTCGATCATCCCAAGCTGACATGGGGTTTAGGGTTTTGTTTAGCACCTTTTTCCGCCTAGCAATTAAGGTGGGCAGAGGGTTTAGGGTTTAGGGTTCACTGTTTGGTTCAGGGTTGAGGGTTCAGGGTTTGGTTGAGGGTTGAGGGTTTAGAGTTTATAGGGGTTGCTCGAAGTGCTTCTTGTTCCACCACGGGCCCATTACTATACTATTTTCATAACAAGGAACCCCAAAATAGTATAGGTAATTATTTAGGCCCTTACATTATAGATCTCCGTAAAGGAACTAAGGTTGAGACTGGTATAGGCCTATCCCTAAAGTTCCCTTTACAGGAACTAGGGTCCTGACTGTTGGAGAAACTTCAGAAGAACCCCTAGAAATCCGTCTAAAAGGAAGTAAGGTTAAGACTGCGATAGAACCCTTCAAGAACCCCTATAGTTCCCTTTAAATTAAAGGAACCCTAAACCCCCAAAGCCCCTAAACCCTGAACCCCAAAATCCTAAACCCTTAAACCCCTGACGCCCTAAACCCTAAACCCTAAGCCCTACCTCCAGAAACCCTAGACCCTATAGATCCCTTTGACGGAAACGGAAACCCTATACCCTACAGATCCGTTTAAAGCAATCCGAACCCCCCCCCGCCCCCCGCCGCTCAGGAGGGCGCCTGCCGAATCTCGGAGATGGTCGCTCAGGGGCTCCAGAATCGCTTTGTGGAGCTGGAGCCTCAGCTTTCGTCTGCTTTCCTTCTTTCTTTAGGAGGGTTCAGGGGTCTGGGGCCTATAATTTTGGGTTCCTTTTGAGGGATCTATATAAGGGATTGGGGTTTAGGGAAAAGGGTCTAGAGTTTGGAGCCTCGACTTCCTCTTTTTTCCTTTTTGCTCTAATTAAGAGGGTTGGGGGTTTAGGGTATAGGGTAAAGGGTTTCGGATTTCTTTAAAGGGGTCGATAGGATGTAGGGTTTGGAGGTTAGGATGGTTTAGAGCCGATTCCGTCGCACCCCCCTTTTTGCTTAGGGGTCTGGGGTCTATAATGTAGGGTTCCTTTAAGGAGGGTTCTATAAGGGTTTCGTATTCTGTTGTAGAGCTTAGGGTTTTTAGGGTTTAGGGCTTTAGATCGTTTAGGGGTTTAGCTTTCAGCGGGTTGAGGATCTAGGGTTTAGGGGTTTAGGGCTCTTTTTGGATTTTCCTTGCAGATGCAACTATGCCCCAGATACCAAAGCCCCAGATTGTTCTAGCAAGCTTTCAAGCTTGGTAGCAACCGGGGGGAACACCACCAGGACCGCAACGCACACAGGAGCTTTTTTGCACAGCTTTGGTCGCATACTTTCTCCGACGTCAGTTAACAGATGCCATGTGCGAAAGCCCGAGATATTGAGATAGCAAAAGCAAGGTTTTCTGCATTCGGCTATCCAATGTTCGCCATCGCTTTTATGCGACAGCGATGCGCATTGCGGACCCTGCGACCCCGATGGCTCCTAATTCTATCGCAGAGAGTTCAACACCCCTAAGTAAAGGACTATACCGAAATATACCGAATACCGCCTATACCTTATCATCATAGCAAGTCACTTACAAAGCCGAGTATATTGTATTCCTTCACGAAGGGTGCATATTGGCGCCCTGGACGTGTAGGGTTTCGGGGGGGATTTGAACTTCGAGTTTCAGATGGAGTGCCGCAGCACTGCAGGAGGAAACAATGCAATACCTGGAACCGAAGCTGCTTTTTGCAGGACTTGTGTATCTTTGTATCTGCAACAGCCAAGAAGGTGGACAGCAAGATTTGTTGAATCGAAAGTGTCGAGTCGCATCGTAGATACGTCGATCATTGGATGATTTGTGGGGATTGCGACACAACTACCTACTACTTATCTGGGCTCTGCTGCTTAGGGTATGTGTTGACGCACTCTCCCATTGGATCTGGGTCGCAAGGGCATTGCTCTGATTGGGTTTCAAAACTACCACTGGCCCAAGGGCCCTGTGCGGCATGACCTGCCTACACCGCCTACACCAATTTCGTGTCAGCAACTATAAGATACGGACTCCTCTCATTAAGGAACCACGCCACGGTCAGCCTGAACCTTGAAAATTAGAGACAACGGGTGCGCTTCATCTTGCAGCAGGCTCCTCTAGTCAGCTCGGGTACCATTCGGGTTTAGGGTTTAAGGGTCCGTAGTAAACACTCTGGCCTTAAACTAGTCCCTATATAGGTGCTTTTGGTGCAAACTCTATATGCTAGTTGGGTTCATGGACCCTTAGGGTAACTGTGAAACCGTTAACCCCAAACCGTACACTTCCAACAGAAGAAGCCCCAAAGCGACAATCCTACAATCGGGCTCCGGGTTCTAGGTACTTCAGCCTGACTAGCTACCACTATAGTATCCCTTAGGCTTCCTTGGTACACAGAATAATACATAATTTAACCCCAAGCCCTGCTTCCAACAGTAAGGCCCCGCAAAGTACCTGCCCGTGCCAAACCTAAAATCCACCTTTACACAGGGTTTGGTTGTTTCAGTTTCGGTCGGTCTTAAAATACCCAGAGGCCCCATAGTAGTTCCTTTCGGGATTACCTCATAAGATTCTAAATCTGAACCCCGAAAAGGAACTACTTTGGGGCCGTAGGGTAAAGGTATACAGTTTGTCAAAGGGGAAAGGGAGGGACCCTTAATGGGGACCCATACTCCATAATGGGCTATATAATGGGTATATCATAGCTATATTAAGGGTATATACCTAGAGGTCCTTATTAAGGGTCCCTCCTTTTACCCTTGGAGTGTAGGGCCAGGGGATGCCAGAGTCCTTCAGTCCATAGAACTATTCCGAACCCTCACGATCCGTCACAGCAGCCCGGGTGAGACAACCCTGCAACTATTGCTGGGATGAGGTCGCAAACCCCAGATCCACGCAGACCCCCAAATCCCGACAATGAAGGAATTTGAGGCTTAATGTCGGGGATGCTGAATGTTTAGTTTGATGAACTCGCCATTTAGGATTGGAGCTTTGAGGGTCTAAAGCTCTCTACAACTTGGGATTTTAGGAAAGATCCAGCGAGTCGAAAAGTATGTATGCCCTTAAAGGGCCACCCTAAACCCTAAACCCTACTGCTTGAATGGGGTTACAGGAGTCGCTGGGGGTCGGGGTTTAGGGGGTTTAGAAGTAAGGGTTTAGGGGTTTAGGGGCATTTAGGGTTTGGGGGTCGAGGGTTTATGCGGAACATTCTTTCCTGGTCTGTTCCCAGTCCTTCATTTGTGGATCAAGGCTATCTTTTGCAGTTCCCCGGTGCGCTCTTGGAGCACTGGAACTGCGAATGAGAACAAGCAACGCCCCTGGCCTTTTTGGTAGGCATCCGCCAGACCCAAGCTTTCGAGCCCGAGTCCTGCCCTGCAATACTGAGGCCTTATTAATTGGTAACAGGGTTTCAAGGCATCTTCGAGTACAGTGACGATGCGGAATCGTAATTAAGTTGAGAGTATTGGTAACTGTTCAGGTCCCTACATTCTACTATATAGGCACTTTGGACCCTATGGGTTTGGGCTTAGGAGACGCAAATTAAATTGATAACCCTAAACCCTATAAACACTAAACCCCGTTTCAAACCCTATAAACCCTAAACACCCTTTCAAACCCTAGAAACTCTAAACCCCCTTCAAAACCCTAGAAACCCTAAACACCCTTTAAAACCCTAGAAACCCTAAACCCCCTTGTAAAACCCTCTCAACCCCAAAACCCCCTCTAAAACCCTATAAAGCCTAACACCCCTTTAAAACCCTATAAACCCTGACACCCCCCCTTTGAAACTGAAATTCCGGCAAAAGATCCGAGAGGCCCAGCATACCCTACCCCTGTTTTAGGATACCTCGTGTTATGGGTTTAGGGCTGAGGTTTATATGGTTAGGACCCACTATATAGAAAAGTAGATACCCTAAAAATGGGCGTAGGGTATGAGCCTACAGCAAAGTACCTATATACCTATATGAGAGTTTCCGAAACGTAGGGGTACCTTGTTTTGGGGTCCTGATAATAAGGATCCTTATTCAGGGTACCATATTAGGAGCAGCGTAGGCCATAAGCTTGGATTGCTGGGCAGGCTCCGATCGTTGGAGGCCTCCAAAAGGGCGCCTTTCAACTCGGATCTTCGTTTAGGGCCTACCTGAGAATCCAAGATCTTGATTTAGATAGGGCGTGGGGCGTAGTAGGCCTCGGATCTACTTAAACCCCAAGTAACCTATCTTCCTAAGGACTTATACAGCGAAGTCAGAATCAGGAACTCGAGCAAGGGGCTTGTCTGAAGCTCTTTCAAGGGAGCCTGGGATGGAGCATGACGACAACCTGCAACAAGGTTTTGGGACATAGTATAGTAGCTGTATTCACTACACGGAGCCCTATGGAATAATGTTGCTCTTTGTTCCTACTCGTGCATTATAGGTACCCTGAGACGACGGAGGCATCCTGGCAGATGTGGCCATGCACTCTGCACTGACACAGCAGCACGCTAAACAACATCTCCAGGCGCACAGTCTCACAACAGCTCAGTCGACTAATCGGAATGCCACCAAAAGCCGCCAATCGTACCCATCGGATCCTTTCGTTACATGTTCTACCTTACTATCAACTCGGCACCTAAACCCCCTGGTCTACAGGGAATTCGTACACATCACGTGGAAGAAATGTATATAACTGCAACGATTGGGGTAAAGAATGCTTGAGGAGTCATAAACTAAAACCAAAAAAAGAAAAACAATGCTTGAGGAGTCTCGATAGCCTGGGAGTTTAGAAGTTGGCATCTGGTTCTAGGGCTCATAGGGCTTAGGGTTGTGGGCGGCTACGGGATTTTGGGAAGGCTAGAGCCTAGGATTTCAAATATTGGGGGTGAGCAGGGTTCAGACTTCGTGCGTCTTATCGTATAAATATACATGGCAATGGTAAGTGGATGTTGTCTAGCTCCCCGAACCTATATACCACCCCCATCCTACACCCGAATCAGAAGTTTAGTAGTGTTTTTAAACATTTTCAGCCAGGAAAAACTTCCAGAGAAACCGAAGCCCGAAGCCCCGCTCCCTGAACCCCAAACCCAAGAGACGTAGAACGCGCTGAACCTCGATGCCAGGATGCTTGTGGGAACTGCTGTGGCGAGTGCTGCTACTAAGGCCTCGCCGGAGGGATCTCGGCAGAGGTGACCACGGAATGGCACTTTGGCACATCTCCGTGGCTGCTGCCACACCCTGGAAGCCCAGCTACCCTGCACTCAGGCTTAGGGTTTTCGAGTCTTCGAGAGATCTTCGGGTTTCGGTCTCTGGTCGACAGGAACCGGGACATTCAGCTTACAAGCTCAAGAGAAACATCTGAGCCAGCTGCCCCTACTCAGGGCTGCCGCGATAAAGGCTTGTTTGTAGGCCACTATATAGTGGCACAAGAACGAGAAAGATCAAAGAAAAGCCAAAAACTTCACCCCTGAGCTAGGCCGTGCCCGTATTCAATCGTATATCAAACAACTTAGCCTGGTGTCACAGCCAGGCGCGAGGCGGCCACAATTGCAACATAGACCCCTCTCAGACGACCCGAAGTCGACACCTATAACAAAAACTCATAGGGATCCTTAGGGGTGTAGGGGGGAGGGGTGTAGGGGACTAGATTTCCTTAAATAGGCCTTATTAGTCCTTATTATGGGCCGTAAGGCCCCCTACCCACCCTCCCCCTACACCCCTAAGGATCCCTATGAAAAACGCA